TTTTGCCCTCCTGTTTTGGGAAAAACCCCTTTTATGGGGTGGGGGGAAAATTTTGGTGCCCCCAATTCCAAAAATTTTGCGGGGGGTTTTCCCCCGGAGGGTAGGGGTAGGAAAATTGGGGGTTAAAGGTGTAGGGCCCCTTTGGCTCTGGGGGGAGTTTTGGGTTGGGGCCCCTGGGGTGAGGGCTCGGGGGGTGGGGCCTGTTTGGAAGGGGGTGTTTTGTGGGGGGGGGGGTTGAGAGCCCCCTTTTTGTGGGAAAAATTTTTGAGAAATTTTCCTCCGGACCCCCCCCGGGGAAACCCCCCTTTTTGGGGGACCCCTTTTTGGGGTTTAAAATTTCCCTGCCCCAAAATTTTCCCCCTGGGTTTTGGGTCCCCTTTGGGCCGGGGGTTTTGGGCCCCGGGGGTTTTCCCCCGGAGGTCCCTTTTAAACCCAAGTTTTCCCCCCAGATTTTCCCCCGGTTTTTGGGGGCCCGGGGTTCCCCTCAGGCCCCCCCCCCCGGGGGTCCCCCCTTTTGGGGGGGGGGTTTTTGGGGTTTGGGTTTTATTTCGTTTTGCCTCAGGGGGGGTTTCTTTTTAAAACCCCTTTTTGCTGCAAGCCCCTCTCTGCCTCCTGCTGCAGTCCCCTCTCTGCCTCCTGCTGCAGTCCCCTCTCTGCTTCCTGCTGCAGTCCCCTCTCTGCCTCCTGCTGCAGAGCCCCCTCTCTGCCTCCTGCTGCAGAGCCCCCTCTCTGCCTCCTGCTGCAGTCCCCACTCTGCCTCCTGCTGCAGACACAGACAACAAACAGTGACACTTAATGAGGCCAGACAGGCCAAGCAGGGGGAAAGATTTGCCCTGCCCCAACACTTCACAGGCCAGGGAGGTGCAGGGGGCTCAGGGCCAGGGAGGTGTAGGGGGCCCAGGGAGGTGTAGGGGGCCCAGGGAGGTGTAGGGGGCCCAGGGAGGTTAGGGGGCCCAGGGAGGTTTAGGGGGCTCAGGGCCAGGGGGGTGCAGGGGGCTCAGGGCCAGGGAGGTGCAGGGGGCTCAGGGAGGGGGAGGAGGGGTGAGGGAGGGGAAGGAGGAAGGGAGTTGATTCAAGTGTGCAGTACAGGGAGGGGGAGGAGGGGTGAGGGAGGGGAAGGGAGTTGATTAAAGTGTGGAGTACAGGGAGGGGGAGGAGGGGTGAGGGAGGTGAAGAAGGAAGGGAGTTGATTAAAGTGTGGAGTACGAGGAGGCGTTTGGGAAACCCTCTACTAGAGGAGAGATATCCATTGTCTGTCTTTAAACACAATCTCCTCGGTTGCATCCCAAATGGTACCCAATTCCTGAAATGTTTGGTCAAAAGTAGTGCACTATGTCGGTTATAAGGTGCCATTTGGGATAGACACTGGTCTCTGTTTATGGAAATAAGGGCACTTTATATTATCTTTCATCAGTCTGTCTTCTCTCAGTACATTCTCAAATACCCTGCTTTGTTTACCTCTGGGCCATGGAACACTGAACACATGACTCAAATCAGAGGATACCCTTTCTCCATGCTGGTGCACTTCAGAGGATACCCTTTCTCCATGCTGGTGCACTTCAGAGGATACCCTTTCTCCATGCTGTTGCACTTCAGAGGATACCCTTGTTTATATTACCTTAGTGTCCCTGTCTGTCTGTCTGTCTGTCTGTCTGTCTGTCTGTCTGTCTGTCTGTCTGTCTGTCTGTCTGTCTGTCTGTCTGTCTGTCTGTCTGTCTGTTCTGTCTGTCTGTCTGCAACAGACCACTAGTCTGAACCCGCTGGCCTACAAGCATCTGAATTAGCCTTCACAGCTGATTAGCTACAGTTTCTTATCCCCATCGTGAATACATGATTAAGCTAGCAGTTCAGCCCCCTGGCCAATGTGAATACCTGATTAACTACAGTTCACCCCTCCATGTGAATACCTGATTAACTACAGTTCATATCCCCATGTGAATACCTGATTAACTACAGTTCATATCCCCATGTGAATACCTGATTAACTACAGTTCATATCCCCATGTGAATACCTGATTAACTACAGTTCATCCACCATGTGAATACCTGATTAACTATAGTTCATCCCCCCATGTGAATACCTGATTAGCTACAGCTCATATCCCCATGTGAATACCTGATTAGCTACAGCTCATATCCCCATGTGAATACCCGATTAACTACAGTTCATCCCCCATGTGAATACCTGATTAACTACAGTTCATCCCCCATGTGAATACCTGATTAACTACAGTTCATATCCCCATGTGAATACCTGATTAGCTAATGTTCATATCCCCATGTGAATACCTGATTAACTACAGTTCATCCCCCATGTGAATACCTGATTAGCTACAGTTCCATTCATCCCCATGTGAATACTGATTAGCTACAGTTCATATCCCCATGTGAATACCTGATTAGCTACAGTTCATATCCCCATGTGAATACCTGATTAGCTACAGTTCATATCCCCATGTGAATACCTGATTAACTACAGTTCATCCCCCCATGTGAATACCTGATTAGCTACAGTTCATATCCCCATGTAAATACCTGATTAACTACAGTTCATCCCCCCATGTGAATACCTGATTAACTACAATTCATCCCCCCATGTGAATACCTGATTAGCTACAGTTCATATCCCCATGTGAATACCTGATTAGCTACAGTTCATATCCCCATGTGAATACCTGATTAACTACAGTTCATCCCCCCATGTGAATACCTGATTAACTACAGTTCATCCCCCATGTGAATACCTGATTAACTACAGTTCATCCCCCCATGTGAATACCTGATTAGGTACAGTTCATATCCCCATGTGAATACCTGATTAACTACAGTTCATCCCCCCATGTGAATACCTGATTAACTACAGTTCATCCCCCATGTGAATACCTGATTAGCTACAGTTCATCCCCCATGTGAATACCTGATTAGCTACAGTTCATATCCCCATGTGAATACCTGATTAGCTACAGTTCATATCCCCATGTGAATACCTGATTAGCTAAAGTTCATATCCCCATGTCAATACCTGATTAACTACAGTTCATATCCCCATGTGAATACCCGATTAACTACAGTTCATCCCCCATGTGAATACCTGATTAACTACAGTTCATATCCCCATGTGAATACCTGATTAGCTACAGTTCATATCCCCATGTGAATACCTGATTAGCTACAGTTCATATCCCCATGTGAATACCTGATTAGCTACAGTTCATATCCCCATGTGAATACCTGATTAGCTACAGTTCATATCCCCATGTGAAACCTGATTACTACAGTTCATATCCCCCATGTGATACTATTCTACAGTTCATATCCCCATGTGAATACCTGATTAGCTACAGTTATATCCCCATGTGAATACCTGATTGCACAGTTATCCCCATGGTAATACCATGATTACTAAGTTCATATCCCCATGTGAATACCTGATTAGCTACAGTTCATATCCCCATGTGAATACCCGATTAGCTACAGTTCATATCCCCATGTGAATACCCGATTAGCTACAGTTCATCCCCCATGTGAATACCTGATTAGCTAATGTTCATATCCCCATGTGAATACCCGATTAGCTACAGTTCATATCCCCATGTGAATACCTGATTAACTACAGTTCATATCCCCATGTGAATACCTGATTAGCTACAGTTCATATCCCCATGTGAATACCTGATTAACTACAGTTCATATCCCCATGTGAATACCTGATTAGCTACAGTTCATATCCCCATGTGAATACCTGATTAACTACACTTCATCCCCATGTGAATACCTGATAGCTACAGTTTCAGATCCCCATGTGAATACCTGATTAGCTACAGTTCATATCCCCATGTGAATACCTGATTAGCTACAGTTCATATCCCCATGTGAATACCTGATTAACTACAGTTCATCCCCCCATGTGAATACCTGATTAGCTACAGTTCATATCCCCATGTGAATACCTGATTAACTACAGTTCATCCCCCCATGTGAATACCTGATTAACTACAGTTCATCCCCCCATGTGAATACCTGATTAACTACAGTTCTCATCCCCCCATTTGAAACCTGATTAACTACAGTTCATCCCCCCATGTGAATACCTGATTAGCTACAGTTCAATCCCCCATTTGAATACCTGATTAACTACAGTTCATATCCCCCCATGTGAATACCTGATTAACTACAGTTCATCCCCCCATGTGAATACCTGATAACTACAGTTCATCCCCATGTGAATAATCCCCTGATATAACCTCCCTACGTTATTGTATTAGCACGCTCTCTTTTTTTTTAGCTACGTTCATCCCCCCAGTGAAAAAACCCCCCTTATATAGCCTCCCACTGTTTTTTATTTTTACTGCGCTCTTTAATTATTATTTTATTTTTTATTTTTACTTAACACTTTTTATTTTCTTAAAACTGCATTGTTGGTTAAGGGCTTGTAAGTAAGCATTTCACTGTAAGGTCTACACCTGTTGTATTCGGCGCATGTGGCAAATAAAATGTGATTTGATTAACTACAGTTCATCCCCCCATGTGAACACCCCCCATCCAGACCCATGCTTTTCTGTCTCAGAAGTGCTAATTATTTTCACTAACCTCTCTCTCCCTCTCCCCCCATCTCCCTCCTCCATCCTCTCCCCCTCCCTCCATCTCTCTCCATCTCTCCCCCTCTCCCTCTCTCCCCCCTCCTCTCCATCTCTCTCCCCCTCTCCATCTCTCCCCCCTCTCCCTCTCTCCCCCCTCTCCTCCTCCTCCTTCTCTCTCCTCCTCCTCCCTCTCTCTCCCCCTCTCCATCTCTCCCCCCTCTCCCTCTCTCTCCCCCTCTCCATCTCTCCCCCCTCTCCCTCCTCCCTCTCCCCCCTCTCCCTCCTCCCTCTCTCTCTTCCCCCTCTCCATCTCTCCCTCTCCCCCCCCCTCTCCCTCTCTCCCCCCTCTCCCTCCTCCCTCTCTCTCCCCCTCTCCATCTCTCCCCTCTCTCTCCTCCCTCTCTCTCCCTCTCCCTAGCTGCCCAGAGCGAGGAGCGTGAGTGTGCCTTCATCGACCAGCAGCAGCAGTATGAGGAGCAGCATGGAGGAGGAGGAGGAGGAGGAAGAGCAGGCGCAGGAGGAGGAGGAGGAGCAGTGACTGGCCTATGACCAGGAGAATACTACTATACGCTGCAGTAAGGGCTCTCGATGCTATGGCCTGTGGGAGAAGACTAAAGACGGAGACATACACCTGGTCAAACAGGGTACGTCTACTCTCTCAATACACACACTCACTAGAGACGGTAAAATAGGGTCAATGTCATCACTCCATCACCATCACCATCACTTTCCTTCTCCTCTCTCTCTCATCCTCTCTCTCTCTCCCCTCTCCTCTCTCTCTCATTCCTCTCTCTCTCTCTTCTCTCTCTCTCTGCTCTCTCTCTCTCTCTCTCTCTCTTCTCTTCTCTGTCTCTTTTCCCTTTCTCTGTCTCTTCTCCTGTCTCTCTCTCTCTCTCTCTCTTCTGTCTCTCTCTTTTCAATTCAATTTCAATGTAAGGGCTTTATTGGCATGGGAAAACGTGTTGTTAACATTGCCAAGTAAGTGAAGTAGAAATAAACAAAAGTGAAATAACAATAAATATTAACAGTAAACATTACACTCAGAAGTTCCAAAAGAATAAAGACATTTCAAATGTCATATTATGTCTATATACAGTGTTGTAACAATGTGCAAATAGTTAAAGTACAAATGGGAAAATAAATACACATAAATATGGGTTATATTTACAATGGTGTTTGTTCTTCACTGGTTGACCTTTTCTTGTGGCAACAGGTCACAAATCTTGCAGCTGTGATGGCACACTGTGGTTTTTCACCCAGTAGATAAGGGAGTTTATCAAAATTGGGTTTGTTTTCGAATTCTTTGTGGATCTGTGTAATCTGAGGGAAATATGTGTCTCTAATATGGTCATACATTTGGCAGGAGGTTAGGAAGTGCAGCTCAGTTTCCACCTCATTTTGTGGACTCTCTCTCTCTCACTCTCTGTCTCTCTCTGTGACCCACACAGTGTTTATAATCAAAGGCAAAACACACACTCACATCCTGTCCGCAGCAGTCTCTTATCCTCCTTGCTATCCTCCTCCAGGTTGCTGGACTCACATCGGGGACCAGCAGGAGTGCCATGACAACCGTTGCGTGGTTACGACCACTCCGTCTCAGATTCAGAATGGGACGTATAGGTTCTGCTGCTGCAGTACCAACATGTGTAACGTCAACTTCACCGAGGACTTCCCCCCACCCAGCCCCACCGCCGCACAGCTATGTAAGTACCATAACCCCTGACCCTTAACCTCTAACCCTGACCCTCCGCCCGACTTCAGCCCAGCCTCTCTGTAAAGCCACACTGCAGCTTAATCACACTTAACTACATCATCAGAATCGATAATACATTTCAGTGCAGTACTAGGGTAGGATACCCTAAAGTACTGCATCAATATTTCTCTGACTTTCTCAGCGGTGTAGCTATCAGACGGTGTTAGCACATCACTGTGACTAACAACTGAAACATTTGGCACAGCCACAATAATCTTAACAGCCATTATAAAACCATGAATGAGTATTAGGTCAAATAACAGCAGAAGGTGAGGGAATGTTTAGAGGAAAGGTAGAGAGCAGGGTGCTCACCATGTTACGGTAGAGGAAAAGTAGAGAGCAGGGGTGCTCACCATGTTACGGTAGAGGAAAAGTAGAGAGCAGGGTGCTCAACCATGTTACGGTTAGAGGAAAGTAAGAGAGCAGGGGTGCTCCACCATTGTTTACGGTAGGAGGAACGTACAGAGCATGGGTGCTGCACCATGTTACGGTAGAGGAAAAGTAGAGAGCAGGGGTGCTCACCATGTTACGGTAGAGGAAAAGTAGAGAGCAGGGGTGCTCACCATGTTACGGTAGAGGAAAAGTAGAGAGCAGGGGTGCACACCATGTTACGGTAGAGGAAAAGTAGAGAGCAGGGTGCTCACCATGTTACGGTAGAGGAAAAGTAGAGAGCAGGGGTGCTCACCATGTTACGGTAGAGGAAAAGTAGAGAGCAGGTGCTCTCACCATATGTTACGGTAGATAGAGTTGTAGAGGAAAAGTAGAGAGGCAGGGTTGCTCCACCATGTTACGGTAGAGAAAGTAGATAGCAGGGTTGCTCACATGTTAAGGTTAGAGGAAAAAAAGGAGAGAGCAGGGGTGCTCACATGTTACGGTAGAGGAAAAAAGTAGAGAGGAGCCGGGGGCTCACCATGTTACGGTATAGAGGGGGAAAAGTAGAGAGCAGGGGTGCTCACCAATTACGGTAGAGGAAAAAGTGAGAGCAGGGTGCTCACCATGTACGGTAGAGGAAAGTAAGAGAGCAGGGGCTCACCATGTTACGGTAGAGGAAAAGTAGAGAGCAGGGGTGCTCACCATGTTACGGTAGAGGAAAAGTAGAGAGCAGGGGTGCTCACCATGTTACGGTAGAGGAAAAGTAGAGAGCAGGGGTGCTCACCATGTTACGGTAGAGGAAAAGTAGAGAGCAGGGGTGCTCACCATGTTACGGTAGAGGAAAAGTAGAGAGCAGGGTGCTCACCATGTTACGGTAGAGGAAAAGAGAGAGCAGGGGGTGCTCCCATGTTACGGGTAGAGGAAAGTAAGAGAGCAGGGGTGCGGTCACCCTGTTAGGTAGAGGAAAAGTAAGAGAGACGGGGTGCTCACTGTTACTGGTAGAGGAAATGTTAGGAGCAGGGGTCCCCATGTATTACGGTATCTAAGAGAAAAAATAGAGAGCAGGGTGCTCACATGTTCCGGTAGAGGAAAAGTCGAGAGCAGGGGTGTCACCATGTTACGGTTAGAGGAAAAGTAGAGAGCAGGGGTTGCTCACCATGTTACGGTAGGAGGAAAAGTAGAGAGCAGGGGTGCTCACCTTGTTACGGTTGAGAGGAAAAAGTAAGAGAGCAGGGGTGCTCCACCATGTACGGTATAGAGGAAAAGTAGAGAGCAGGGGTTGCTCACCCTGTTACGGTAGAGGAAAAAGTAGAGAGCAGGGGGTGCTCACCCTGTTACGGTTAGAGAGAAAAGTAGAGAGCAGGGGGTTTGTCACCATTTTACGGGTTAGAGGGAAAAGTAGCGAGCAGGGTGCCCACTATTACGGTAGAGGAAAGTAGACGAGAGGGGTTGCTCCCCTGTTACGGTTTAGAGGAAAAAGTAGGAGCAGGGTGCTCACCATGTTACGGATAGAGGAAAGTGGAGAGCAGGGTGCCGCACCAGTACGGTAGAGGAAAGTCGAGAGCAGGGTGACTCACCATGTTACGGTAGAGGAAAAGTAAGAGAGCAGGGTTGCTCACAATGTTACGGTAGAGGAAAGTAGGAGCAGCGGCTGCTCACCATGTTACACAACAGGTAGCGAAAAGTAGGAGAGCAGGGGTGCCTCACCAGTTTACGGTGAGGAAAAGTAGAGAGCCGGGGTGCCTCACCATGTTACGGGAGAGGAACAGTCGAGAGCAGGGTTGCTACAACTGTTCGGTTTTAGAGGAACAGTAGAGAGCAGGGGTGGCTCACCATGTACGGTAGAGGAAAAGTAGGAGAGAGGCGGTTGCTCACCAGGTACGGTAGAGGAAACGTAGAGAGAGCAGGGGTGCTCCCAGTTAGCGTAGAGGAACAGTAGAGAGCAGGGGTGCTCACCATGTTACGGTAGCGGAAAAGTAGAAGCAGGGTGCTCACCCATTGGTACGGTAGAGGAAAGGAAAAGTAGAGAGCAGGGGTGCCTCACATGTTACGGTAGAGGAAAACAGTAGAGAGCAGGGGTGTCACCATGTTACGGTAGAAGGAAACAGTAGAGAGCAGGGTGCTTCACCATGGTACGGTAGAGGAAAAGTAGAGAGCAGGGGTTTGCTCAACCATGTTACGGTAGAGGAACAGTGAGAGCAGGTGTGCGTCACCATGTTACGGTAGAGAACAAGTAAGCAGAGCCGGGTAGCTAACCATGTTACGGTAGAGGAACAAGTAGATGAGCAGGGGTGCTCACATGTTACGGTCGGGAAAAGTAGAGCGCAGGGGTTGCTCACCATCGTTACGGTAGAGGAACAGTAGAGAGAAGGGTGCTCACATGTTACGTATAGATAGAGGGAAAAGTAGAGAGGCAGGGTGCTCACCATGTTACGGTAGAGGAAAAGTAGAGAGCCGGGGTGCTCACCATGTTACGGTAGAGGAAAAGTAGAGAGCAGGGGTGCTCACCATGTTACGGTAGAGGAAAGTAGAGAGCAGGGGTGCTCACCATGTTACGGTAGAGGAAAAGTAGAGAGCAGGGGTGCTCACCATGTTACGGTAGAGGAAAGTAGAGAGCAGGGGTAGGTGTCAACATGTTACGGTAGAGGAAAAGTAGAGAGCAGGGGTGCTCACCAGTTACGGTTAGAGGAAAAGTAGAGAGCAGGGTGATCCACCATGTTACGGTAGAGGAAAAGTAGAGCGCAGGGGTGATCACCATGTGACGGTATAGAGGAAAATGAGAGCAGGGTGTTCACCAGTTACGGGTAGAGGAAAGTAGAGAGCAGGGGTGCTCCACCATGTTACGGTAGAGGAAAAGAGAGAGCAGGGGTGCTCACCAGTTACGGAGAGGAAGGAAAGTAGAGAGCAGGGGTGTCACCATGTTACGGGTTAGAGGAAAGTCGAGGAGGGGTTGGCTCCCAATGTTACGGTAGAGGAAAAGTAGAGAGCAGGGTGCTCACCATGTTACGGTAGAGGAAAAGTAGAGAGCAGGGTGCTCACCGGTACGGTAGAGGGGAAAAGTAGAGACCAGGGGTGCTCAACATGATACGGTAGCGGAAAAGTATGAGCAGGGTGCTCACCATGTTTACGGTTAGAGAAAAGTAGAGAGCCGGGTGTCACCATGTTACGGTTAGAGGCAAAGTAGAGGAGCAGGGGTGCTCACCCATGTTACGGTAGAGGAAAAGTAGAGAGCAGGGTGCTCACCATGTTACGGGTAGAGGGAAAAGTAGAGAGAGGGTTGCTACCATGGTTACGGTTAGAGGAAAAGTAGAGAGAGGGTGCTCACCATGTTACGGTAGAGGAAAAAGTAGAGAGCAGGGTGCTCACCTGTTTACGGGTTAGAGGAAAGTTAGAGAGCAGGTGTGCTCACATGTTACGGATAGAGGAAAAGTAGGAGAGCCGGGGTGCTCACAATGTCACGGTAGAGGAAAAGTTAGGAGAGCAGGGGTGCTCAACCATGTCTCAAGTGGTTAGAGGGAAAGTAGAGAGCAGGGAGGTGCTTCACCATGTTACGGTAGAGGAAAAGTAGAGAGCAGGGGTGCTCACATGTAATGGTAGAGGAAAAGTAGGAGAGAAGGGGGGCTCACCATGTTTACGGTAGAGGAAAAAAGTAGAGGAGCCGGGGTGCTCACATGTTACGTAGGGAAAACGTAAGAAGCAGGGGTGCTAACCTGTTTACGGTAGAGGAAAAGTAGAGGAGCAGGGGTGCTCACCATGTTACGGTGGTTAGAGGAAAAAGTAGAGAGCAGGGGTGCTCACCAGTTACGTAGAGGAAAAGTAGAGAGCAGGGGGTGCTCTACCATGTTACGGTTAGAGGAAAAGTAGAGAGCTGGGGTGATCACCATGTTTACGGGGAGAGGAAAAGTAGAGGCAGGGGTGCTCACCAGTTACGGTAGAGGAAAGTACCGAGAGCAGGGGTGCTCACCATGTACGGTAGAGGAAAAGTAGAGAGCAGGGGTGATCACCATGGTCGGGTAGAGGAAAAGTAGAGGAGAGCGGGTGCTCACCATGTTACGGTAGAGGAAAGTAGATGGCAGGGGTGTCACCATGTTACGGTGAGGAAAGTAGAGAGCAGGGGTGCTCCACCATGTTACGGTAGAGGAAAAGTAGAGAGAGGGTGCTCACCATGTACGTTAGAGGAAAAGTAGAGAGCAGGGGTGTCAACAATGTACGGTAGAGGAAAGTAGAGAGCAGGGGGTGTCACCATGTTACGGTTCGAGGAAAAGAGAGAGGCAGGGGTGCTCACAATGTTACGGTAGAGGAAGTAGAGAGCAGGGGTGCTCCCATGTTACGGTGAGGAAACGTAGAGAGCAGGGGGTGCTCACCAAGTTACGGTTAGAGGAAGTAGAGAGCAGGGGTGCTCACCATGTTACGGTAGAGGAAAGGTAGAGAGCAGGGTGCTCACCATGTTACGGTAGAGGAAAAGTAGAGAGCAGGGTGCTCACCATGTTACGGTAGAGGAACAGTAGAGAGCAGGGGTGCTCACCATGTTACGGATAGAGGAAAAAGTAGAGAGGCGGGGTTGCTCACCCTGTTAAGGTATTTAGAGGAACAGTACGAGAGCAGGGTGCTCACCATGTTACGGTGTCCTCTGTTTCATTGTTCTGATTAGATCCTGTCTGTCTCTGACATCATGCTGTG